CAGAGAGTTCAGTGACTATATAAGAACCAAAAACCAGCTTTCGTTTTGTACTTAAATATTATAATAGAAGTGTGATCACAAGCCTCACAGCAATAATCGGGTTTGTGATCTATGATGGACTTCGGCCGGGTGGCTGTAACGCATTGATCGTTTCTGCAAAGCTCCATTTTATTGATTGTCTCTGTTCCTTTCATTTTTCATTCACTGCTTTCATTATCGCTTTCTTCCATTCTACTCATTTCTGTCCCAGTTGTAACCTTGAGAGGCTGTCAGAACGTTCCCTTAGCACAATGATTGTCACAAGGTATTTTCGTAATAATTCAATCATTAAGGCGATCCGCGACTGAAGAGCCAGTGGGAGCGGGTTCAAATAACAGTCAAACGGGTTTAGTAGTTGGAGTCTCTTACCCTCTACAAAAGGACCCCACTTTCAATTTGCTCGGGGAAAGTTCGCCATTTTGTGTGCTCCACTCCAAAGTGCCTGCATCAACGTTGTTTGGATCTCTGAAGAGCAGTGGTACTTAACACTAATAGATTTTATAACTGTTGATTTTCCCAGTTTTGAGGGCACATGCTCCCGGTGGGGTACCAGAACTACGTCTGGCGTTTGAATTACGAGTGCGCCCAAAGTGCACTGCATTCTAAGCCTTTAATCGGAGAAAACTAAATCCAAAATGTCCTCTATCGACACAATTACTGGCTCAAATTCTCCACCTGCACTTTGCACGCTGGTGTTTCTCGTTGGATTCTCGATATCCTCTTCAGTGTCTTTTACAGGGACACTGAACTAAGATGAATAACTCGGCATGCCTTACTTTCAGCACTTACTATGATGGGAAATCATATGGGTCAAGATCTGATGGGCGAGATAGCCATCCTTCGGAGTAGCTCTGTTCGTGCAGTTCGGTACCACACTTGGGCAGCATGCGTTCATACTCCGCGATGACGCTCGTCAATACCATTTGTGAATAGGCAGCGCTTACCCTCCTGTTATCGTACACTCATTGGAAACACTAGCGCTCAACGCCGATCGATAGCCGCATAGGGGTTCGTTCCTCGTCGATATTTTTTTCAGCGATACTGCAATGGCAGTGCGTCAGCGCGCGTCATCGCTAGGTCTGAACGCTGCTCAAGAAGGGCTTGGCTCTCTGGGTAATATTCTTTCCTGTTGGATGCTCCATGGCTTGTTTTCAGATTGGGACTCGTATCGTGTCTTTGGTGCGTAGTTGCTGTTCTTTCGAAGACACTCGACGACGGGTTTGACGAAGTCCAACGGCATCCGGTTGTTCGCCACCACTGAAAGAATGTTTCATCAGGAAAATGAATGGTGAGGTGAGTGTGTCCAATAATATGGGTCAGTAGCATTTTTCCCTTCGCTAACTATTAGTATCGAATGCCTGATTTTGTTCACATGCCACTCCTGCGCCAGTGGTTACGAACCGTCAGAGAATGAACCATTTTAATCATTCTTCTCGTAAGAACTGTCATCTTTTCTCCTCTTCGAAGCCTTTCCCAAATGGCACATTTTCTTATATCGTTGCATGGCCCTCTGCTCAACCCTCATAGGTACTAACAAGACGAATTCCAGGGCGGTGTTTTTCGCTGCGCAGCTTTTGAAAAATTGTTTTATATGCTTGAACTGTTGCAAATCTTAAAAAGAGGTGATTTCTGCCAATACGTCAACCGGGTGAAGCTGTAATCGTCACGACTACTTAAGGCGCTACACAACAAGGATGTCCTTCGACTGATGGTGGGATTAATATAGTCCGACTTCTTCTCCGTGAAGCACATGTACGATCTTCTCTGTAGTCCTCGTAACGCCCTTTGTTCCGCGAATTCGTCTCTCTTTTCAAGTACGAATGAAAAACAAAACGGATAATGGATCGTTGCTATGAAGAATAGGAGGAAAATTAACTCGCAGTGAAACTCAGGAATTGCATCGTGTTACTCTGAGCAGAGATGGTGCACAGGCATGCGGCATATTTTCCACGCACGCGCCCGGCCGTCAAATCCCGGATCGGTTAACACGCAGGTCAATGAAGGTTTCAGCACTCCGACGGCGGTAAATTGGTACCACCTTCGTTTGGGAGGGTAGGAACACTGACCTGTCATCGGCTGGCCCTTGTCATGGGAATTTTCGCGCATTTTTTAGAGGCAAAAGGCACGATAAATCCCCAAGATATGTAGGACTGCGGCGCCTAGCAGGACAGAATTGAGCGCACCTGAGCAGGCGCTGCCTGGCGCCTCATAGCGCCCTATCAAGCTGTAACATAACGATGCCCAGCGCGCCTGCCCGCCAACATATGGACACTGGTATTAATGCACGTATCGCTTCAGTCGCGAACTATGAAGCGAAGCGATTGGTATATGGCGGCTGCGGGTGCTGCATGGATATATGAGTACAAACACAAACAGAGTCGTATCTGCCGCAGCGGTTATTGGCACGATGCCGGTAGGAAACTCGTCCGGAATCGCCTTCTGATATGTGTAGAACAAATGCCTTTTTGCAGGTTTCTGACCGTTACAGTTGATTTTTTTGTCATATTTCCACTATATAACACTCCTCCTACCACTCTAAGCCGAGTACCAAATTATCGAGCCTTATTCCTTTGATCATGGACTCTGTACATGAAAAATGCTCGTTTTGAAAAATTATGAACTTGAGATGGATTTTATCTGCAGCTCGATAAAAAAGCTATTTATTCGTACTCAACCCTATACCATGTTTAGGATCACTGTATCGCAGGAATTCTGCAGAATGAAGACCGTGAAAACCCAACATCAGATGTCTGTAAGAACAGATATTACCTTGAACACAATTATTGACGACAATATTACTATTCAAAAGTCCTGATTTCATAAATCGCGACGGTTGTCCAAATGGAGAGGGGAAGTGGGGTGCCAGGAAGCTGTTGCAAGTTCTGGATCGAATGATGGCCACCCTTGCTTGGACGGTCATCGCGTACGTATCACGCCGACACCCGGTTCAAAGCGCCTAGAAACATTCATCAATTTCAGACGACCACAAACCTGTAGAAAATATGAAAAAATGTCAGAGCGCAAAAATTTGCAAAGGTAGGACCAATGATTGGGAACTTACTTTTCATTCATGTTGCTGTGATTTCCCCATTGATTCGCTTCAGGATCAAAAACTTCAACTGTTTCTTGGTCGGCGCCTCCACGCCCACCCACAGCATAAAGCCTATCGTTGACAACGGCCAATCTCATCTACAAACAGAACCTTTTCTTGCTTTTCACTCGAAAGGAA